CCCTGACCCGACCTGAGGTATGACGATACAACTCTTTGAGGATCGACACATACTTCTCAGTTATTCCATTCCTCAACAAACAGTTCCATAGTGCGGTCCTATCGACAGAGTCGAAGGCCGCTCGGATGTCCTGGGATATATATACGACTACTGAAAACAAAGATGGAGATGCAACGATCTGACAAAAGCGCGGTTTTAAAACAGTTGGGAAGGAAATCAGTACAATTGCTGATGTAAGGCCCAAGGCAGACGGGTAAGGACCAATCATGAAGTTCAGTAATGCTGGTTGACCAACATGGACATTCTTCGGACTAGGGAAGTGATAAACAATCACATCATCAGCATACCGGTTTGCAATGAATTTTACTTTTTCATGAAGAGTCAAACGAGCATGACATTAAATCTTAACTAAGATGAATGCAACAATGCAATTACAAGCAATAGCATTAAGCATAAAAAGACTCAATCATTGAACGAACTGAAGGGTATGATGGGATCCACACGAAACCTTTTCGGAAAGATTTCAGTAACACTGAGACACAGGAAATGCGACTATGATTTGACTAGCCTTATCCCGGTTTATTCTCAGAAATTAGATATCGTTCCGGAAGCAAAACCGATGAAACAGCTCAGGAGCCGCTATCGCACGGTATTTAGCAAGGGGATTCAATAGATGAAATGATCATAAATTGGGACCAGTTGCTTTATTGGCTGTTCAAGAATGGAAGAATTTCTTCCAGCGAAACGGTTTATGTCACTGTGTTTTGGTAAAGACGAGATGAAATGAGATGGGGGGGGGGGGAAGATAAACCAAAATACAGTGGCGAATGGACAGTTCAATTCTTCAGCATGGACAGCAAAAGGTTTACCCCACGTACCTCCATTCTTTTCCTCTGAACTCTGAAATTCTCACATGCTGGATTAATGCCTGTCCTTCAGCAATTCTATACAGAACTATCCAATCAAGTTGTCCCTAACTTTCACGCGATATTTCAGAAGCTTTTAATTCCCCATTCCCACGTCACCCATGATAGCATCCTGACAAAGAGAGGACGGCTTTGATTCTCGTTCTCTCTAGTTATGCGCAGGTGAACCGAAATTTGGATAGCTGTAAGCAAAGCTCAGTGCCATAAAATAGTGATCTTAAAAATTGGGGATTTTAACTAGCGTTGGCTATTAGCATTTTGAACATATTTTCTATTTGGTTTTCGATTAGGAGGGTAATCACATGGACTCACAGAAGTGCTGTTCAACTGTCCTGTCCACTGGTGTCGATTCTTCCCATCTTGTCTCACTGTGAATGTTGGTTTCCTTCAAATATTTCTTCCTTCTTATTAGCTTATTTTTCATCATTCATTCAAGCTCCGTCATCAGTTTTGCTAATGCTGCCATCGACAACAGTTCTTTACGCTTACTCGTCTTTTCTTCCTTCTGAAAACAAGAATATCGATAAAGATTCTTCTTCCACTCATAGCAAACCTGTCTGTCATTTCGTGCTTAATGGTCTGGGTCACCGAAAACTGAGTCCAAAAAAACTTCCACCTTATCCATTTGAAAATAGATTCTGTCTCCGGTTCTTATGCATTGGATCTCTCTCTCTCTCGCCTAGTTATTCAAATTCGAGCTGTCTCACTCAATAATTCTCTTTTATAGGCACCATACAACCAAACGCTAGCTTCACTGTGTCGCGCAAGATTGCTTTCCTATTATGCCTCATACTACTCTTTCGTCTTTCCAATCTTCCTTTGTGGAGTGCGTCTTCGAATAGTGCAGTCACTTATGAAATAGAGCCCCGCTTTCTCCCTATTCCTCTTTGGCCTAGTTCAATCGAAGCCACATGTTTGATCGATTAAATTGACGCCCTCATTCTATTTGCAATCTTCATCTCATTACCGAAAACTTGTCGCTCATCATCGTTATTTCCATCGGTTCTCTTACTTTTAGATTATTTCTACCCTACCTGTTCTCCTTGGTCTTCCATCCCACTCTCTTGTGCGAACTACTAGACATCCTCATAGAATAGCACACTACCAGTTGTAACTGCTTCTCAACATCTGCAAGATTATGGAACGTTNCCCCCCCCCCCCCCCGCCACTCTTAGAACTTCAACCTTTTAAAAGGCAGAATCAGTAGTCTTCCTTTCATCCGCGTGCCCGCAGTCTCTTTAGTTTATGTTCTTCTCCCTTTTTTATATGTCGGATTTCTGCAACAAAATATTCAATATAGGTTATCCATTGCAAACAACCCAAATCGAATCGTATGAGAGAAATTCGATCATCCCATATGGTAATCAGTAAACATCCTCAAATCCGCAAAACGTTTACTCATAAACTTTGACTATCATTGATGATTATAGCATATCACACAGTCTGTTTACACGTGTGTGTGTGTGTTGTAGTGATACAAAATGGCAGGTGATTGGTATTCGTATACTTCATACACACGTTTTGCAATATTTATAAGTCCATTGGGTGTGTTCCAAATCATATT